CATCTACCCATCCATCTAACCATCTATCCATCTACCCATCCATCCATTCATCCATCTGTCCATCCATCCATTAATCCATCCATCCACCCATCTGTCTATTCATCCATCCATCTTCCATCCATCCATTGTTCACTCATCCATCTATTCATCCATCTGTCCATCCATCCATCCATCCATCCATCCATCCATTCATTCTACTATCTCTTCCTCCCCCTCCCCCTTCTAGCAACTGCTTATTGGAGTAGTCAAGAAGCTATGCTCAGTTCAGAGGACCTGGGGAATCCTCATTCTCAGAGAGCTTATTGCTCATCAAGTCCGTGGTCATAATATTATGGAACCAGCAGGGTTCTCTGAACTGGGAAACACCTTCTTAGGGATCAAAGAGGGTTCCTGAGGTAGTGAGACTACACAGAGAGCTGTTGCAGGGATCAGCAGTTGCCAATAAGGGAAGTGAATGTAGCCAAGAGAACCTTGGGGACCAAGTCCCAGAGTCCAGGTCTGCAGTAGCAGTGACACAGAATGGGTGGGCAATGGGCTTGGGATGGAGAGGGGTGTGGAAACCAGGGCCCTGGCTGTTGTTGTAGGTTTAAGTTCTGATGCTTCTTAATTCTGAACTCTGCTAAGTCAGAGAATACAGGGCTCCAGTCTCATCTTTCGTAGCTTATCTTCCTATATGTTCCCTGAAGAAGGTCACTGTGAGGCTGGTCCTCAGGGTCCGGTCCATATGACTTTTTCTAGAGCCACATCAGAGCATAAGCAACTCAGTATTGACAGAGGAACAGAGAGAAGGCTGTTGACCTTGTGCCCCATCACCCCCTGCATGACTGGTCAGAAAGAGAAGATGGGAGCCCAGGCTCTGGCCTCTGGGATCCCCAGTATGACAAGAAGGGTAAACACTGGGTGTCCTGACTGTAATACGTGGAGCCAGTGCACTGAGATAAGGGGAAGTGATGGGGACTTTGGGCTAGAAGTCCTAGAGAGGATGTCTTAGTTACTGTGAGGAGACACCATGACCAAGGCAACTTGTAAAAGAAAGCATTTCCTTGGGCACTTGCTATCAGCTTTAGAAGATTAGTTTATTTCAATCACAGCAGGAAGCATGGCAGCAGGAAGGCAGGCATGGTGCTGGAACAGTAGCTCAGAGCTTACATCTGACCCACCAATAGGTAGAGGGACTAGGAATGGCATGGGCTTTTGAAACCTCAAAGCCTGTCCCCACCCCCTTACCCCCAGTGACACGTCTTCTCCAACAAGGTCACACTTCCTAATCCTTCCCAAACAGTTCCACCAAATGGGAACCAGACATCTGAGTATATGAGCCTATGGGGACCATTCTCATTCAAACACAGAGGGTACATCTCTGCAGGAGCTCTTGGTCTGGGAGTCAGAACCCCAGGCAACCTATGAAAGGGCAGCAAACTGATTCATCTATGGACCCAAAGATGGCATTTCAAGCCAGGATGCATAGACCTCAAGAGCCTCCCTATCATAGGCAGGGTCTCCACAAATGTCCACTGAGCACCTGCTGTCATCGCTGGGGCAGAGATGCCACAGGACTGGGACACAGAGTACATGGAGAGTGACGTCTCTTTCCACCCTCCACACCCAATTCCTTGCACCCGAGGAGGCAGATTCTTCTGTTTCACACAACACAGACGGTGTGGCTCGGGCAGCTGTGGGTGACCTTCTTCACACAAGCATGCTGAAGACCCCACTAACACCATGGAACTTCCTTCCACACGTGACCTCCGTGTGTCCCACATGTCTTCAACTGACTCCCTGTTTTCCAACTCCCAGGCTCTCCAGGAGCGCCGAGCCCGCTGTGAAACACAGAATACAGACCCTGTAGTCTGGACCAACCAGCGGGTGCTCAAGTGGGTTCGCGATATCGACCTGAAGGTGAGGGGAGATGGTGGTGGAGGCATGGGGGTGAGTCTCTAGCCTATGCCAACGACATGCAAATCAATGTCCACTTTGATGTAAGTTTGGGGGCACCATCACCCAGCCTGACAAGGACACAGCTTTCTGTCACTGGAGTAGGATCCCTGTTGGAAGCGCTTGTCACTGGGACGATTCTTAGCAATATTTTTTCTATAAAAATCTATGGCTCTTGCCAAGGCCCAGCAAGTATCAGTGACATAAGACGCCTATGTTCACAACCCTGAGGATAGGGAACAGGTCCCCTTCACTCTCAAATGAGTCAGCTGTTGGGGTCATATCCCTACTTGTCTCTGATGGTCCCTATTTCCACCTCACGCTTCTGCCCTCAGGAATACGCAGACAACCTGACCAACAGCGGTGTCCACGGTGCTGTGCTGGTCCTGGAGCCCACGTTCAACGCCGAGGCCATGGCCACCGCCCTGGGCATCCCTAGCGGGAAGCATATCCTCAGGAGACACCTGGCAGAGGAAATGAGCACCATCTTCCATCCGGCCAAGTGAGTGGGTATAGTACTCAGGACACAAGGCACAGGTTGAGGAATCGGATGGCACTGTCCCAGCTCTGGCCCTTGCCTGGCTGAGCGCCACTCATCCCTGCACCACACTGGTCAGGAAGATAAAGCTCGGAGAAGTTCAGATACTAGAAAGGAATATCAGGTCCTGAAGGCAGCACATGGTAAACCCGCTGCACTGGGGCATTTCAAGTAGGGAGAGCGAACGGTTCTGCTGGAGAAAGGCTGCATGAGGTGAGGCTTGAGCTGAGGACAACGCACTGATTTCATAGAACAAGGTGGCCATTCTGCCAGATGTAGTCATGGAGGCAAAGGTTTAGAAGCAGGATTAAGCAGATAAATGGTACTTCTGACCCAAGGGAGCAGATCACAGCCACCCACCCGCACTGGTCCCTTTGCCTAGAGAGAGATTGGGTTGGGTACCCAGACAGCCCAGACCCACCCTGTGAATGCTGCCTGGAGTCATACTTGGGGGGGGTGGATCCTTCTGATTTGTTGGCCTAGTAACTCTTTGGGAGCTGTGTAAAAGCTGTAGGATTTCTGTCTATGGGATCAAAAGAAGGAAGTGGGCTTCCTCCAGGACTTGGAGGCTGATGGGTCAGAGACAGAGAGGCAGTGCAGCCTTCAGCCTGAGCCTAAAAGCTTGTTGTCACCTCTATCTGTGATGTAGCCCATATGTAGGTCACACTTGGCTGGTGTGGCAAGGCCCCTTAGTTAGGTTCCATGAAGCTTTGTAGAGTGCCATGAACCCGGAGGATACACTTCAATCAGATGAGGGGACATAGAACCCCAAGAGTTCCTAAGGAGTTCAGAGACCACCTCAGTAGCAGAGAGAGCCCCCATCACCACCACTGCAGACAGTTATCCCAGGCACATGGTGAGATCCGTTGAGGTTCCTAGAGTTGAAACTAATGGGGCAGTTCTGCAAGAAGCCACACAAGGCAGGCCTCTGTCCTCCTTCCTGTTACTTCCTTCAGCTTTCAAAGACGAGGAGAAGCAGGTTATGGGGGTGGGGGAAATGTGGTGACCCTTTGGATCCTCCCAGTGTGATCCTCCCAGGATGCTGTGGGTTGGTGGAAGATACCAGTTGGAGAAACATTCCTTGTCATTAAGTTCAATATCAGGATTGTACCCTAGACAGCAACCCAGGCTGGGTGGACACAGCAGTCCTTCACAGTGATGTCACAAAATGTCATCAGCAAGGTGGGCACACACACACACACACACACACACACACACACACTATGAGGAAGGATAGTCATGTTTACTTTTAACAGTACTGGAGGTGGAACCCAGAGCCCTGCATATTCTAGACAAGCACTCTATTACAGAGCTATATCCACAGCCCTTTTATTTGTGTGTGTGTGTGTGTGTGTGTGCATGTGCGTGTGTGTGTACACCACATGCATGCCTGATGCCCATGAAGGCCAGAAGAAGGCATCAGATCCCTTGGGACTGTTGTTGCTATAGACAATTGTAAGCTACTGTGTGGGTGCTGGGAAGCAAGCCCCAGTCCTCTCTCTCTCTGAAGGAACAGCCGGTATTCTTAAGTAGTAAGAATAAGGGAGTAGGGACAGGGGCAGTAGGCTGTGTCTCTTACTAACTCTAACGTGTGAAATGTCACAGCTCCACAGGCATTCGGGATTCTGAGCGCTTTGGGACACCACCTGGCAGGGCCTCCAGCATCACCAGAGCTGGGAAAGAGGACAGCTGTGGCAACAGCAAGTACAGAGCTGGCCGGGTAAGTGGTCTTTCTGTCCATGGGGCCAGGCGTCCTTTCCTGGATGGACCTATGGCTCCTTTGTCACCTGTGAACCTGGAGCAGCCTCAGGTCACAGGTGCTCATAGGAGAGTCAGCACATACCTGGGCCCTTGCTTAAAATAATGCCCGGTGACAAGGATCCCTGCAAGGCAGAGTCTATGTATGGCAGGGTGGCTACAGTTTGTGGGATCCCCTCACCCTGGCCTCCTGAAACAGGGGGCCCCTGGGATGCAAAGTACCTCACACAGCTGGCTGCTGGGAGGGATCAGGGAACTCTAGACTCTGAAGACCTCTGACTTGGATTCTGAACTCCACAGCCAGCAAGGAACCTCTAGTGCACCCAGTAGGACAGCATAAGACAGGGGCAGCTCAACTCCACAGCCAGCAAGGAACCTCTAGTGTACCCAGTAGGACAGCATAGAGCAGGGGCAGCTGGCCAGAGATCAACAGAAACTCTAGATGTCACCAGTGTCTTGGTCACCACATGCACAGCACATCTGCGCTTTCACTTGGTGTCACCTGGACATCAGTTGAGCTCAGGAGGGGCATTGCAAGAACACGTTGTCACTGGCTTCTGAGGACACTGTCCTGGGCTAGCCATTCTTGGTTTTTGCTTTAGTTTTGGTTTTGCAGAGCTGGAAGTCGAACCCAGGGCTGGGGATCTTATGTGCTAGGCAAACACTCTAGCGAACTATACCCCAACCAGCCTTTCTTGTTTTCCTGTTTTATCTTTTAAAATATTTTTATTATATCTGTGTGTGTGTGCCCCAGCATGCATGAAGAGGTCACAGGACAACCGTAGGACTCAGTTCTCTGACACCGCAAGTGTGGGTGCCAGAGACTGGACTCTGATCACCAATCTCAGCCTTAAACACCTTTCCCCGCTAAGCCATCTCGCCAGCCTGGCCCTGTTTTATTTTTAAGACACATCTCACTGTGTAGCCAAATCTGGCCTGAAACTCACCATCCTCCAGTCCCAGTTTCCGAAGGGCTGGGAGCTTGCTTTCAGCTGTGAGTACCTTCATTCCAAAGGAGCAAAAAATTGTTGGGAAGGAGTGGGATGCATGTTCCTGCACAGATAGACACACATGCTGCCTGAATACACACATTAGGGAAGTCTGGAAGCCCTGTCTGAAACGTTCTTGTAGGGGACTCTCAAGTGGAGATGTACCAATCTAGAAAGATGGGCAGTTGAGCACATAACCGCTTAGTGTCGTGGGACGCTTAGTGTCGTGGGAGCAAGAATCAGCTCGGAACCAGAGGCTCCACCAAGAGGCCTCTGTGTGTGGGGACAGTTCCCACAGGCACCTGCTCTGAGCTGCCCATCCCCCACCCCCTGCCTTACAGCTTTTTGATCTTCCCAACAGTCCAACCAGGTCCCTGTCACTTTTCTCATCATGCAGCTGAGAAAAAAAAAATCAAGTCTCAGAGATGGGCAGTTGACTTCTCCCAGGTCCCACAGCCGGGAATATATAACCGGATCTCTAACACTCATGTACAAGCCTCAAGCCCATACTTGTGGCCCTACCAGACAGGGCTAGAGTTCCTTCTGGATGGAGCACACAGTGAGACCGCCTACATGTGGTCACACACACTCCCAGATATTGTCCCATCTACGGCTAAAAGCAGTGTGGGGGAGGGGTTGTAGAATCGTTAGTCTGAAGTCACCCCTGGTAAGTAATTCGATCTCTCTAGCTGGTAACTCAAATGTTGATTCTTTATGGGATTTCTGCAAATTCCCTCCATGTGTCTGGGCAGTAGGCATGATGCTAATATCGGAGGAGCCCAGAGAGGTGCCGAGAGATGCTGAAGGTCACACAGCATTTACACTGGAGATGCCACAGCACGACCCAGTTCTCATCTCTCTCTTCCTCTGTCCTCTGGTTTGTTTCTGTCTCCTCAGCTGCCCCTGGGGAAGATAGGAAGGGGCTTCAGCAGCAAAGAGGCCGATTTCCATGATGACTATGGCTCGCTTGAGAACGAGGACTGTGGGGATGAGGACCTCCAAGGCAGGCCCGAACAGTGCCGTCTGGAGGGATACAGCAGCCTGGAGGTCACCAACGTGTAAGAAAGCCTCATGACTCAACTCCAGAAGAGCAGGGAGGAGGAGCAGTCCAATGTCCCAGAGCCGTCCATCCCCACTGTACAGCGTGACTCGGGACTGAAGACAGACAGGATGTCAGAACAGAGTTCCCAGAGACGGTCACGATTTCCAGGGAGCGCCAAGGACAGAGAATGCCCACCTAGGTGTCTTGTATCTCTGAGGACGTTATCACCCAGCCTCAACCCAGCGGGTGGCCCTGAGACTGCTGTTCAAAGTACAAGCCAGATGCTGCTGGTACTTTACACTGGACTTACAAGGAAGAGTCAGGGAGGGTCAGTCTTTGGGCCTGGAATACCCTGCCAGGGGGAGCAGTAAATCCAGCTGATAACCAGTTGCAAAGTCAGCCAGCAGCAGCCAAGTGGTGAACGCTGTCAGCCCACTGGGCAGAGAACTTGAACTCTGACCTCCTCGCTCACTCTGGAAGGATGCAAATGGCCTGGGTATTTCTCTCACATTAAGAGCAGCACATCCTGAGGTGGACATGTCGGGACCAGGAGGGGAATCTCTCCAGGGCAGAGGGGCCTGACAGCAGAGCCCTAGGGGCTACAGACATCCTGTCACCAGAATGAATGTGATTTCAAGAGTGGGAGGGGATAGTTACTGAGCTCTGTCCCAAACAGCTATTCCAAGTGTGGGCATACAATGGGAGACTGCCTGTCATTAACCTGACAAACCTCTTTCGTGATGTCCCTATCAGCTGAGACAGGTAAGCTCACCCATGAGCTAACAGAGGTGCAAATCCCACAGAACAAGGTCACCAGGCCTTTCTAGCCTCTGTCTTGATCTGCCAGTGTTTTGCTGTGTGGTTTCCTCCCAGTGGCCTCACCTCTCTGTGCCTCAGTGTCTTACCTATACTACTTCCGGTTCCTCCCAGGGGTGCTGTGAGGATTAACATTCGCTAACATTTGTCCCAAGCTTTGAACCTCTCAGGAAACAGCTGTAAGGGATGGGATGGGGGGGGTTGAGGGTGGATGGAGAAGAAGGAGCCTAACTTCCACCCACAACATTTGCAGACACCAGGCGAGTTCACTCCGTGTTGGATCGGGAGATAGGAAAGAGGGGCATGCAGAACGTTTAATATTGAGAGTTTCCGAAAGCCAGGTCTGGGAGGGCCACCAGCACAGCCTGCGGGCCTACTGGGTGCAGGGTCCAAGCTGACTGAGCAGAGACTGCCTATTGGTGATAGGGAGGAGTGCAGGCAGCTGGGCTCTGTACCAGCTCTCCTCAGATTCCCACAGCTGACAGTGCGGGGTGTCGGGGGCACAGCCTCTGAGCCACCAAAGCCAGTCTCCTGCAGTGGTACGGAGAGCTTCCCTTTGTGGGAAGGCCACATAGAGCCTATGAACCTGAAAGGTGCTGATCCCCATGTTAAAGACATGGGTCCCACAGGCACAGTCTCCCTCACAACCTGAGTCCAGGGGCCTCGGGGACTGGGAGGAACCTTTCTGTCTGAGTGTCAGCCTCCGAAGGACACACGGCAGACACCAGGACTCGCAGGGTCAACCTCTGGGGTATAACCCAGCTTGGCTCAGGTTTTACACCCCTGAGTGTTTATAACATGCATTCCTGTCCCTGGAATCCCGAAGCAACTGAGCCCTTAGCCTAGCAAGGAGAGGGTGAGGTTCTCTTCTAATTGAAGCCAGCTGTCACTTTTAAACCAAGTTCCTAAGGGGTAACACAGCTTCTGGAGCCAGGAATATACTGACAGCCTTCCTGGAAATGTTGCTGGCTATGTGGGCTCCTTGCAAGGGCAGAGTCTAGGTAGGGAGAGACTCCACACTTGCTTCCTTCAGGCTGGGAGGCCTACAGCATCAGACGGCTCCTTCCCAGTGGACTCTGGGCTTCCGTCTTGGGCACGTCTGTCAGTCTCCATCCTTATCCAGTGGTCACTTTCAGCAGATTCTGTCTTGACTCCTCACTGCAGGATGCAGGGGTTGTTAGAGGACTAGGTTCAGAAGTGGAGAGAGTGGCTTTCTCCTAAGCCTGGCCTGCACGGGACAATTAGAACAGGGAAACACCACCCCACCCCACCACTACCGAAGTCTGAGGTCGAAGGTAGGTAGGGTCCTGTCAGCTATAAATTTGGACTGCAGAATCATGACAAAGAGTTCTACTAAGATCATGACAGCCCTTCCCAGAAGGCCAAGGACCACATCACAGGTTGTGGGGGAAAGTGTCTCCTGGGTGGTGGCACCTTCTGGGTCTCACGTTACAGAAGCCAGTGTGGATGGTGAGGATGCCCCTGACCCATGAAGGATTCATAAAATGCATGGCAAATGAACAATGAACTGCAGTGTCCCACACCTTCCCAGAGGGAATTTTAACAATGTAACAATAAATGCTCGGCCTTGCAGAGATCCTTCTTTCTTGTTGGCTTTCTCCTTTATTGTCCCAGCAGCCTCTTAGACAAGGGGGACTGGGAGCCCCTGAAACTAATGGGGGACTTCTTAGGAAGGCTGAGAGTCCTGCTTCACAAGGTCAGAGAGTTGTGGGGTGGGGATTTGAACCTTGAGCCTCTGTGCTTACAACTTACTCTCCCCTCCCCCACCCCACCCCCACCTCCACCCCCACATCTCTACACATCTCTGCTTTCTAGCATATGACTAACCTCTCCCCATGGCAACTCCATCAGAATCCAGGTACACTCTGGTATGCTGGGAAGTCCGTCTCTGGGTACCATCTCCTAAGGGAACTCTCACCATGCACTCTGGTGAGTTGAGCAAAGTCATTTGGGGTGCAGCTGGGCCGATCTGAGAGCCAGCACAGGCTTCCAGGCAATGGATCCAGGGATATCACACAGGGACCAAGATCATGACCAGCAGAGCGACCTTCCCTGCCAAGCCCTTGTCATCATAGGTGGGGCTGGCCTGTAGGCTCTACCCAGGACCCTTAGCGGCCCTGACAGAAGTCACCAGCCTAGCCCAGCTCATCCTGTCTACATCTCCCAGACAAGAGGCTCTGGCTTGAGACTAAGGTCAGGTAATATGCATCCTCTGAAGTAGGTGCCTAGCAGGCAGATGAAGAACTGGATGATACAGGAAGACAGCCCAGTCACAAGGTTTACCTGCTTCCACCAGCCTCTGCTCCTGAGGGACTGGTGGCCCTGGCCAAGTATCCCAAACAGCCTATGTGTCTTCTACTCAGTTTTTATGTGTTTGCTTACTTTTTTGAGTCAGGGTCTTGGTCTAGCCCAGGCTGACATGGGATTCATTCTGTAGCCCAGGTTAGCCTCTAAAGCAACAGTAATCTGCTACTCAGGTGCTGGGATTACACACATGTACCATCCCATCTGGCATGTTTTTGTTCAGCTTTAATATGAGATGGGCTTGCTGGATATATGGTGTGAGGCTGGCGTTTGTAAGTTCTTACTGAACCAGGCTATTTAATCCCTTGTTCTGTGTCAGGCACTCTTGGGCTGACAGGCCGTCTTTGCCCTCTAAGATTGCCATTCACAGAGCAATCTTCTAGGTCACTGGTTCTCAACCTTCCTAATGCTTTTACCCTTTAACACAGTTCCTCATGCTGTGGTGACCCCCGACCATAAAATTATTTTCGTTGCTACGTCATAACTGCAATTTTGCTCCTGTTATGAATTGTAATATAAATATCTGTGTTTTCCAATGGTCTTAGGTGACCCCTGTGAAAGGGTCGTTCAACACCCCACCAAGGGGTTGTGACCCACAGGTTGAGAACTTAGGTAGAAGGGGGAGGGGGCCCAGCTTTCAGATTTGTCAATGAGGAAAATTCTTCTGCTCTGGGGAATTGTACTATAAACACCTATGTGTCCAAGTGGCCACAGGCTGTGGCTCTGTGGCCCTGCGGGCGGAGCTCAGACCTGGAAAAGAACCCACATAAAGGTCCTAACTCCTTTAATTAGGGAGGTCCCCAAGGGGATGTATATAAACCACCTATGCCTCAGTTTCCCCAGCTGTCCTATGTGTAGAACAATCCCTACCAAAGGATGCTACTGTGGGGATTAGAGAGGCAGACCTGTCTTAGAAAACTGCAACTCAGGTAGGAATGACATCTGGCCACCTCTGGAGAAATCTAGGGTGTGGAGAAGAGCTAGAGAGTAAAGTGAAATATATTCTGGCCCAAGACATCGGATGGCACATCCAACTGTCATCGAGGGTCACCCTGAGTCCTTGAATTAGTGTCCCCACATCCTGAAACCTCTGTGAACTGCCAGGGTAACCTCCTGTCTGAATATCACAAGGGTCCTTTCCCCTGGGGCCTGGCTCTCTTAGCTGGAGAGAAAGGGATCCTTGGTCAAGATGGAAAGCCCTCTGGCCACATCAGAATAACCCATGGTTCCGTGGAACAGTCAGTTTCCATATCTGAGGGTTATCATTGGAGAACTCACCCAATCTCCGCAGAAATATCCAGAAAAACAATTGCATCTGTAACAAACATGTAGGCCATTGCTTTATCCTCGCTGTCTAAACAGTGTGATACTGAGTTCTATTTGTGCAGCACGTTGTACTGACAGGCAGAAGTCATCCAGAGGCGATGTGAAGCAGATGGGAGGATGCCTGCAGGCTACTGTGGATTACTGTTTCTGTTAAGGCCTTGTTCTCATTGTTGAGTAGCCACAGAGAGTCCCAGTCACCCACCCCCCCTGTGGTCCCAATCACCCACCCCATCCATGGTCCCAGACACCCACCCCATCCATGGTCCCAGACACCCACCCCATCCATGGTCCCAGACACCCACCCCATCCATGGTCCCAGTCACCCACCCCATCCATGGTCCCAGACACCCACCCCATCCATGGTCCCAGTCACCCATCCCATCCATGGTCTCAGTCATCCACCCCATCCATGGTCCCAGACACCCACCCCATCCATGGTCCCAGACACCCACCCCATCCATGGTCCCAGACACCCACCCTATCCATGGAAACTGAGGGAGGATTGTTTCCTAGTGTCATACCTCTTGAGAGCTGTAAAACCCAGAAAGCACTG